GCGCGGGCGGGGAGGCGGGCGGGGGGCGTCGCCTGTCCCCTGCCCCCTCGGGCGCCCCTGGCCCCCGCCAGACCCCAGCCCCGCCGCCGGCCGCCTGGCTTTGCGTCGGCCCCTACGGATTTGTCAGCCAGATGTGACAAGATTGCGGAGAGGCGAGGGAAGGAGGAGATCTGATGTTAATCAGTGCATAGCTCCGAGCCAAACTTTCTCAAATGCGGTGTAGAAACATGCTCTTCTCATTTAAGGCATCTCTTTGTGGCCGTGGGGCTGCCACCGGTCGCCGTTTGACAGTTAAATGGAATGCCAACTAGCAGCCTTAATTGTTGGAGCAAAATTGTGTGTGTGTGTGTTTCGGGGGGGGGGGCGGGGGGGGGGAGAGGTGAGTGTCAGACACTCTAAGGTTCAGTTATGTCCCCCTAGGTTTATGGCCGTGTTCACCGCAGCTCTGCTGAAGACAGGGCATTTAAACCGGGCCAGACGCCTGGTCGCATCCAGGCCTCTGCTGTTAACACTTAAGGGGCCTAAAAAAAGGCCCCAGTGGTATCCTGGGAATCCCTGTCAGTGAGTGTGAGTGTGTGCGTGTGTGCGTGTGTGTGTGTGCGTGCGCGCGCGTGCGTGCTGGGGAAAACATGTGTTCCTGCATGCTCTGGGCCCACACAGCAGATGTAGCAACAAATTTTTTGTTTTTTAATATATTCTCATCAGAGTGACAAAGATTTTTGATTTGACAGTAAGTGAATTGAAAAATAGTGCTGGGCAGATTATCTTTCTCCTTTTTTTCTGGTGCCTTTTCATTCTTTGCTTCTCGTTTTAATTTGCTGTTGGAGCTCATGGGATCTTTTCAGAAGATCCCTTAGACTCTTCGCTTGCACTTAGATGCTTACGTGTTAAAACTTCTGCTCAGTGATAAATACACCGGCTTCTCAAATTGTCCCTTCCCGAACACGTTGATATGTATTATTAAAACCTCATTTAAAGTGTAATATGTCAAAATAAAATTTTCGGATGTCGTGTAAAAAAAAAAAAAACCACATTACTTCAAATGTTAGCAATTGGTCAGGATTCTGATTTTTGCTTTAAATGGGTGTGAACAGATAGACACCATTTTTGCTCTGGTAAATATTGTTGATAACTTTATCTTTTCCGGCGTACCTAAAAGAGTAACATGTGAGTCATTATTTGATTTTTTATCTGATAGGTTTGCTAACTTTAATTTCACCGAGAAATTATTACTGTTTGAACTCAACTGTTGGTGGAACGTGTTCCTGTTCTAGTTCAATGCCTGGAAAAGGTGGTGAAATCTTCTCTGAGCTCAAGCGCGGCTCATGCTTTGGGAACTCATAATTATGTTCAGACACCTGCATAATTTCATTTGGAAAATCATCCGTACCTGTAAATGCTGTTCCATTCAGAATAGCAAGGATTTAGCTAGAGGCCCCTCCTCCAGTCAGAAAGTGGTAAGTTGGGAGGGGTTATTTGGCCCTTGATCCCTGCTAAGATGAGAAACAATCATGTTTGCTCTGGTAATAATTCACATCAGAAATGTTAACCAACATGAAATAATTCCTGTGGAAGCGTGAGGTTTGCATAGAGCCTTATTTTTATTTGTGTATTGAAGCGTGAGGTTTGCATAGAGCGTTATTTTTATTTGTGTATTGTTACAACTCTCTCGCGCAGCCGTTAGGCCGGCCTCGCAGGCCCATGTTCTGTGTCTGAGAACCCTCAGCTTGGAAAGGAGGATCCACCCCATTGGGTGAGAAAAGCCATAGAGATTTCCCTGCAGAACAAATCATAATTGTTCTTTAAGCATACCGTTATCATTTATGAATGCCTAGGGATAAACATAAACATCGTGAAAGTTCAGTTTGTCGGTAAGATTAAATTGCTGCATGTGGGGTGAGGGGCAGAAGTGTCTTTTAGCCTTTGTATATGGCTTTAGAAGCTATTTTGACAGTGGCCATTAAGCGAGTGCCTTGCCCTGAAGCTTCCGCAAGGTAAATTACTTGCAGGAGGAGGAAGCTTTACCCCCCGCCCCCCCGGGTGAGTTTTCACCTCTACAGATGGCATTTAGAGTTACTTTTGTCAGAAACAGCCCTGTTCAAGAAGACCTAGAAATACCCTAGGTTAGAGGAAAAATCCTTCCTGAGCCACCCTTTTTTTTTTTTTTTTGATAACTAAGACCAAGATTTAGAGAGCCAGTATATTTTTTAATTACCTTCCTCCAAATACCCTATTGCAGACTTTTATTGTAGTTATTTATTTATTTGCCTCTTTTATTTTTGATGCCGTATCTGTGAGATGTTAAAGATAACTGGGTTCTGCGCGGAAGAGACATCTGGAAAGTTTTGTGGGGTTGTTTTTTTTTTTTTTTTCCTTTTAAATTGGTTTCCACCTGAAAACCTTATCTTCTGTTATCTTGTCATCCTTTGAAGCCCTTTCTCCTAATTCTGGAAATCCTAAGTTCCCGGTGTAGCCCCCTTTCTCTGCATGGACACGTGCCTATTTTTGTCCCCGAAAACCAAAAACGGAAAACAGTGGATCAAAACAAAGAGCAGACCCGCTGTGCCATGCTCCGATCTGGGGCCTTCTCAAACTTGGGGTGTTGCAGGGAAAAGGGCCACCGCCATCCTCGTCCACGCCTGAACTCATTATTTAAAAACCAGCCTCGCAAATCCTAGGAGAAGTTTGCCTTGGGGGGATGATCTCACAGGGCTAGCGTGAGGGCAAAGAGAGACGGAGGGATAAAATGTTGTCAAGGCCAGCTCCAAACAACCTGTGTGGAAGGAAATGACTGTCTCCGTGAAGGTAAACTTTTCATTCAGGCTACTTTTTCTTGCCTCTGGTTGTGTGAGTTTGTCTCCTCTTACAGACTCTCCCTTGAAGGATCCTTCCATACACCCAAACAAACATCACAAGCAGTTTCTATCTCTGCGCCAGCCTCCAGAAGCACTGGCCTGGCTCCGTAGCCCTCTGATGGTTTCTCGCGTTACTCGTTACGAAGATAAAAATTTTTATACGGACAGCTCGAGCGCTTCGTGATTCTCCAGGCTGGATTTTAAGGCAGTGACAAGGACGGTAATTTGCAGACTCTGGCCTTTTCTTTTTCAAAATTTCATTTTGGAAAATCTAAGGTCGCTTTTTGTTTTTTGTTTTTTTTTTTAACACTCGGTTCTGAAAATCGAGTTCTCGTTAAGCCCTGAAAAGAAGTGTCTGCAAAATTTTACTTAGAAATGTTCACCCTTTCATTGTTATCTTGCAACGGACGTGAAGTTGCAATGCTTGTAGAACTGGCTACCTTCGTTAAAATTATCCTGAAGTATGAATGTCCTTTTTCTGTGTTGGTTTTTGTGTGTTTTCCCCCAGAGCTGTCTCTTGCGTTCAAAAGTTCCCTACACCTGTAACGTCCCTCTGTTTTTTGTTACCAAAGGTTTCTGAAGATTGCCTCTGAGGTCCTCCCAAATTTAGGTTATAAAGGGGGGGAAATGTGTACATATCCTTTTATTTCCATATAGTTTGTTGTTGTTGTTGTTGTTGTTAGGTGTGTTTTTTTTAATGAAGAAATAATTGGTTAGGTTCATAAAGTAACACTTGCATATCTTTCTACTTTTTATATTTTCTGTTTTCGGAACTAATAATTTTAAGAAAAAAGGGCACAGCTGTTAGATGATTTTGGCACAGAGTTTATACTTTGATTTAAAGAGATCAAAAGAACGAGTATTTTCCCCACCATCCTCTTTGAAGACGAGCACACGAGAAGGGGGCAAGGGTGTCGCGCGTGCTTTCTCCTCACAGGTAGACTTGGCCCAACATCTGTACCTGCTCCCTCCCAGCTGCCCCTTCCTCTGCCAGACCCTTCCAGACCCTTCTCCCAGCCCCGAGCCCCCCCCCCCCCCCCCCCCGGGCTCTGTTCTTTTCATCCCCCTGCTTGCAGTGAGAAAGCAGATTCTGTCGGGTGGGTCTTCGGTGGGGGTTTTGTATTTGCAAATGATGCCTCCTGGTTTCTGAGGCTTCCCGGGTCCCTTTTTACAACTGTGCTCATGGGAAAGGGGGTGTCTCCTTGCGGCTGGGAATCCCGATGGCTCCATGAAGCCAACAGGCCTGGCTGCCGGTCTGGACAGCACACGCTCAGCTCACCTGCTGTTGCCTTTCGAGGTGTGCTCTCGTGGCCCGGGGACAGAAGCCTCTACTCTGTGGCTGGCCTCCTGGGTTTCACGCTCATGTACGGAATGAGCCTAGGACCATGGCATTTCCTGCACACGGTGAGGAGGGCACACCTGCTGCCTTGTGGGGGAAGCCTCCCCTGGCCTCATGCAGCACCTATAAAAGTTAACATAACTCTTGGGGCGCCGGGGTGGCTCAGTCGGTTGAGCGTCCGACTTCGGCTCAGGTCATGATCTCGTGGTCCGTGAGTTCGAGCCCCGCGTCGGGCTCTGTGCCGACAGCTCGGAGCCTGGAGCCTGCTTCGGATTCTTTGTCTCCCTCTCTCTCTGCCCCTCCCCCACTCACGCTGTCTCTCTCTGTCTCTCTGTCTCCCTCTCCCAAAAATAAATAAACATTCAAAAAAATAAAAATTAAAAAAAGTTAACCTAACTCTTGAAGGTCAGTACATGTTCCTTTTTTTTTTTTTTTTTTAATGTTTTTACTTATTTTGAAAGAGAGAGCCAGCAGGGGAGGGGCCGAGAAAAGAAGGGGAGAGAGAGAATCCCAAGCAGGCTCTGCACCATCAACGCAGAGCCCCCCGTGGGTCTCAGTCCCACGAACCAGGTGATGGTGAACTGAGCCGAAATCAAGAGTGAGTCGCTTCACTGACTCAGCTACCCAGGCGCCCCAAGTGTTGGTGTCTCCTTACCAGGATCCAAGTAAGGTCCATATGTTGTCTCTCTTAATCTGTAGGTTTACACTTCACTTTTTCCTTGCAACGTATCTGTTGAAAAAGCTGGGTCATTTATTCTACACAATGCCCCCCAGTCTGAATTAGTGACTGCTTCCTTGTGGTATTGTTTACATCATGGTTGTTCCTCTGTCCCCTGCATTTTCTGTGCACCAGAGTTGACCAAGGGGCTTGATCTGATTCAGATCTGAACTTTTTTATTTCTTTTACTGTTTTTAATGTTTCTTTTGAGGGAGAGAGACAGAGTGCAACCAGGGGAGGGGCAGAGAGAAAGGGAGACCCAGCATTGGAAGCAGGCTCCAGGCTCTGAGCTGTCAGCACAGAGCCCCACACGGGGCTCAAACTCACAAAACGTGAGATCATGAACCGAGCCGAAGTCGGACACTTAACCGACTGAGCCATCCAGACACCCCACATCTGGACTTTTTTCATAAGAACACCCCATCTGTAGTAGAACGTATCTTTCCAATCAGAGGCAACTGACCTGGTTGTCAACTTCTACATTTGGAATTGTGGAATGGTAGTATTCTAATTCTTCATTTATTTATTCACTAGATACTTCTATAAAGGGAATCTCTGTCTCATCAGCGGTTTGCACGATTTGTATAAAAAAGGATGTATGCTTGGGACACCTAAGTGGCTCAGTCGGTTGAGTTTCCAACTCTTTTTTTTTTTTTTTTGTTTTTTTTTTTTTTTTTAACATTTATTTTTTTTTGAGACAGAGAGAGACAGAGCATGAACAGGGGAGGGGCGGAGAGAGAGGGAGACCCAGAATCTGAAACAGGCTCCAGGCTCTGAGCTGTCAGCACAGAGCCCGACGTGGGGCTCGAACTCACGGACCATGAGATCGTGACCTGAGCCGAAGTCGGCCGCTTAACCGACTGAGCCACCCAGGCGCCCCGAGTTTCCAACTCTTGATTTCAGCTCAAGTCGTGATCTCACAATTCGTGGGATCAAGTCCTGTGTCAGACTCTATGCTGACAGCCTGGAGCCTGCTTGGGATTCTCTCCCCACTCCCCTCTTTCTGTCCCTCCTCAGCTCACAAGTGCTGTCTCTCTCTCAAAATAAATAAACAATTTTTTAAAAAGGATGTATACTTGGGGCGCCTGGGTGGCTCAGGCAGTTGAGCATCTGACTTTGGCTCAGGTTATGATCTCACGGTTCGTGGGTTCGAGCCCCACGTCAGGCTCTGCGCTGACAGCTCGGAGCCCGGAGCCTGCTTCCGGTTTCTGTGTCTCCCTCTCTCTGCCCCTCCCCTCTCTCTCAAAAATACATAAACATTAAAAAAAATTTTTTTAAGGATTTATACTTGATCTGTCCCTTTGTTTACCAGGTTTGGGGACAATTAATTGGTTCCCTAGCATTCCCTAAAGGCAGCTAATGATTTTTTTCATTTGTCTTTAGTATCTCTTGACTTTCTAGATTTGAATATAGTGAATGAATCATGTGAGGTTTTGACGAATTCAAAAACTTTATTCTCTGCTGTCATTGACCAGTCGAGCTGTAGAATTTTATTCCCTGATGAACACATACACCCCCTAGGACAGACACTGGGAGTTCCTCAGCTTTGTATCCCCGGGAGGCTCCTTGTAATTATCAGTACGTAGTAGATGCTTTAAAAACAAATGAGAACCACCACCACCACCAACAAAAGCAATTTGTTAAATAAATTTGTATCACTTCGTTAACTACTCGTGCAGAAAGATGGCATGAACGTCTGGTCTTGTGTCTCTCCCTAGGTGGGCTTCCGTCCAATGCTGCCAGCTGCCTCCTACGAGAAGCCCACCTGGCCTTTCTCTTCTCTTCCTCCCAGTTGTCCTTGTTGCCCGTCTGGCAAATGATGATGCTGCGTTCAGAATCCTAGTTGTGCCTCTGCAAGTTGGTGTATGTAACGAAAACAGTGGAAAAGTTAAAAATTGAAAGAAGTTAGAGAAAAAATGGGAGGGGAAGAGTTAGGGAGCAAAAAAAAAAAAAAAAAAAAAAAGGCAAATTCTCCTAAAAGAAGCAGCACAGAATGTATCTAAGAAGTAGAGACCTCCCCCACCCCTCCTTGAATGATGCAATTTCCGGAACCCCGAAGGCTGTCTCTGCAGCCACAGAGAGAATGGGGTGACAATTTTGCTGTAAGTGA